TAATAGAATTACAGATGTGTGCAAGTTTTTGTTCAAAAGTTGTACCAGAGATTTGAAAATTAATGTTGATATTTTGAGGATCTTTTTTGTCTAAGTCTAATAAATAAATATATATTTGATTATGAATTCGTTAGGCTTCTGTATCAGTATGTGTTGTTTTGATAGTAAATTGTTGTACTTCAGATGTATTTCAAATTTCTACTGAGTTTTGAGATATAGTTATTGTTTCATCTGTATGTAAGTGTTGAAGTAGTTAGTGAAGGTATGGAAGTAAACTTTGATATCATTGTTGTAAGGCCATTTTTAATTGTTATAATAAAGGTAAAAAAATATAGTGAAATTCTGTGGTTTTTATAATAAAATTTGTGGTTTTCAATTTAGTAATTCTTTGTATAACTAAAATAAAATTTTAAACCTATTAATAAACTAAAAATAAAATAAAACTCAAAATAAAAAAAATTAAAATAAAATAATATAAAGAAACTAGCAAACACTAATTAATGCAAATTATAGCTAGACTTTAAAAGAATTTTCAATAGCAAACACAATTAATGTGAATTATAGCTGGTTTGAAAATAAGCTTTCACAGTATACACAACTTAATGTGATTTATAACTGGTTTAAAGATAAGATTTTAATAGTATACACAAATTAATGTGATTTTATAACTATATTCAAATTATAAGATAAAAATAATCAAAAGTTCATTAAATCTAATGCCAGTTAGCCAAGATGAAATGTCTAAAAATATTATTGCCAGAAGAATTTTAAAAGTATTCACAATTATTGTATAGTTATAGCTTCACTAAGTTGTAATTGTTTATATAATTCCATGTATTTAACTAATTTCTTTTCTAGTTTTTGAGATAATTTTCTATTAAGAAGAGAGTTGTATACTTTAATCAAGATAGAATAGAGTTTTTGTAAACAAGGTAGAATAGTAAAACCAAGAGAAGAAATAAGTTCAACAGATTTAATCATCTGTTTTACTCTAGATAAATTAATTCCGCTTTTAAAAAGTTTAAAAATCCTTTTAGATTCTTCTAAATAAAAATAAAATTGTTGAACAGATATAGTTGTAGAAGTAGTCTGTTTTTGTTTTTTCTTTGTTTTCTTCTTTTTAATTTCTTGTTTAGATATAATCTCCATAAACAAATTATTGTTTATAATTGAAAGTTGTTGTTTATCTTCTTGTTTTTCTAAAGAAGATTGCAAGAAGCAAGGGAAAGGCTCAAGAGAATAATTTAGAAAAGAAGTATTATTCTCATAATTATCTATCCATGGATTACAAATTAATTCATTGTATTCTTCTTGAAAAATAAAAATATCTTCTTTCTTAGTTATATCTTCTTTATTTTCTTTTAAAATTTCTTGAATACTAGTTATTGGTTTTGATATCTCTTTTCTTTCTTTTATTGTAGAGGGTTTTGAAAGTATCCAAAAGAAAAAATATTAAAAATAGTTTGTATGAATAATAAATAATATAAAACTTCTATGAATATGTGATACAGTAGAAGTAAAGTGTTAGATAATAAAAATAAAACTTATAAAGAATTTGTAGGTACAGTCTTTCTGAATATAAAGAAGGTGAAATCACTCAGAACAGATAAGTGAATAAGGAGATATTAAGGATCAATGGTTGTATAATAATATTTATAAAGAAGTTTTTGTTAAACTTTTATAGTACAGAAATGAGAATTAAAACTTTAAAAATTTTTTGAGAGATAAAGAAGCATTTTTGTACTAAGTAAACTATATATAAAAATAATTAAAGAAGTTTCAAGAATATAAAAGAGATGAGTTTTTAAGTTTAGATTTAAAACTTATAAAGTTATTAAAGAAAAACTAAAAAGAATTAATTTAAAAATAATTTTTAAAAGAAGTTAAGAAAAAGTAAAGAAAAACAATAAGATAACAAATAAAATAAAGAGTTTCTCTTAGAATATAATGATAAAGAATATGTATTTTATAAAGAAATTTGGTAAACAGAAAAATAATTCTTTAAAAAAAATTGATTTTCTTAGAAATAAGAATAAAACATTGTTGAAAGAAAATAATAATTTGTTTTATTTGGTCAATTAGAGCTTGATATTGTTTGTCAGTTGGGATATATTCAAAATATCAACATTAATTTTCAAATCTCTGGTACAACTTTTGAACAAAAACTTGCACACATCTGTAATTCTATTA